TATTTAGTTGCATTAGGTAATTTTTTGCAGTATAAGCTGATCTGCAGCTAAAATTGTTTGTTAGAAGGCTCCATACGATATATATTTTAATATTTTACTATTTTTGAAATCTATGATAATTTAGAAATGTATTGTTAACTTACAGATATAGTATTATGTGGTACACACTTAATGACGGTTTCTCTGTTCGGTAATTTTATCAACTTTTGCGAATGGTAATAGCAAGTACGGAATTTACCGTAAAATAACACCTTTTCGGTGAATGACTAAAACTCAGTCAAATAGAACACCGAGTTTACTGATTGTGTTTTACTGGAGTCATCAAACTTAATTTCAAAATTACTGATCACACTAGTAAATCAAATTATTGTGTTTACGTCACCCTCCCCCTCACATACCTCGTTTACTTGATTTCCGAAATTTCTGTGTGAAAACAGCAATCGTTTGTGAAAATCAACACAGGAGTGCAGAAACAGTCACGGAATTTTGTAGTTTCTGCAATCTGGTATCGACTTCCAGGAGATTCATGATGATGATGGTCCCACCTCTTACCCCTACAAAGGTTTGAGCTGGACGAGTTATCTTTAAGATAATTAAATATAAACATTTTAACCAGGTTTGCAAACAAAATCGAGCTGGTTACAATTACAGATATAAATGTCCTGTTAAATATGCTATAGGCATCAACCAAAAACATTCAAAGGTGTAGCTAGTTATCAAAAGTCCAAGTATAGTCCTCGACAATACTTCCATTTACACGTGACCTGGGATTTACACGTTTAAGCTTCCGCAGTGCCAGGACTATATCCAAGGAAACGACTTCCAGCCAATCCTTTACTAATTTAAGGCTTTTGCCACAATTTCCACGTATTAGTCATTTATACCTGTATTCCGCGCGCGAGGCTCAAACCATTGTAGACTACTCAAAGCTATTTTTACTATTACTACTACAAAATCAAAAAAACTAAAAATCCATCATCACCATCGAGGCAAACAATGTAGTTTTTTGTATATGCTACACAAATTACTAAAATGTCTTGATGACAGTCTCCATACAAACTAATCCGTTAGTGATAACTTTGTCAAGATACATGATTTATCCATTCATAAAAAATTAACTGCTCAATAAACAGCTTTTACATGTGAAATGCAGCGTCTCTTGAATTCTGTAAGTGTAGTTGCACGCTTGATGTGTCTAGGCATCGAATTGAAAACATTTATACCTTTGAAAAATAATGAATTTTGTGAAGCATTATTCAAAAGATGTGGTGTTCTTACTTCATCCGCGTTTCTAGTGTTATATCTATGAAAATCACTTCCTCTTTCAATCCGATCACACAAATATCGAGGCAGCAAACCGTTAACTACTTTAAAAATGAACACCATAGTCAAAAACACAATTCTTTGCTTCACTGACAGCCATTGCAAAGCGTCCAGCATAAAAGTTGAGGAAGTGGATCTATTACATCTTAAAATCAAACGCATTACTTTATTCTGCAAACGCTGTAATCTCGATATTTGTGTTTCATTAGCCAAAAATAAAATGGAAGGGCAAAAGTCTAGATGAGGGGAGATGATTGATTTGTATAACTGTATTTTACTACCAATAGTTAAATCGTTTTTCAAGCGACATAGGATTCCATACTTCTTGGCAATTTTCTTGATGACATTGTCAATATGAGAATTGAACTTGAGTTTGTCATCAATAATCACGCCAAGATATTTAATTTCCTGAACGCGATCAAGTGTCTCATCATCAATAACAACAGAGACATCATCATCTACACGATTCCGCGAAATTACCATGAATTTAGTTTTACTTATATTCAATTTCAATTGTTTATACTTCAACCATCTACTTAGAGAACGCAAATCTTCATTCAAGCGTGAAACGGCTTCTTCTAAATCTTTAGCTGCAATGAATAACACAGTATCGTCAGCAAAAAGATTAATATCACAAAACCGTAAAACTCGTCGCATGTCATTAATATACATAATAAATAAAAGGGGCCCTAATACACTTCCCTGAGGCACTCCAAGGTCATTGTCAACGGGACAAGATACAAAATCATTAAAAACAGTCCTTTGTGTTCTGTCAGATAAATAGCTTTCAAACCATTTGTATGCAGAACCCGAAATTCCAAAGCGCTTGATTGTTCTCAACAATAAGGGCCTAGAAATTGTCTCAAAAGCGCGTTTTAGATCCAAAAACACAGCAACAATCGTATCTTTATGCTCCAAATTTTCTTTCCATTTAGCTAACACTAAGTTTAACGCGGTTTCACAAGAATGGCCTTCCCGGTATCCCGATTGTTCCGGTATCAACAAACAGTTACTATTTAAATATTCTAACAGCTGGCCTTTTACAACAAGTTCTAAAATTTTCTCTAATGTGTGCAACATGTTGATGGGACGAAACTCTTCGGCTTTAATCGTCCCAGCAACTTTTTGTATAGGAACAACTAAAGATTCTTTCCAAATATGCGGCACGTGCCCAGATTGCAATGATTGATTAATAAGGTCCCGCAGAGTGTGTCGAATGACATGAAAGCAATCTTGAATAACTCTAGCATTAACATTATCTACTCCAGCCGTTTTTCCTAATGAAAAGCAAATATTTTTAAGTTCATCTAATGTAATTGGGTGAAAACCATTAAATCTACAATTACTATTAATCGGCTGTTTTATTTCGTCCGGTTCATTGATCAGTTCAATAGATTGATGGATCAGTGAAACGCTCTCAACGAAATAGTCATTGAACTTAGAAGCAATTACTGGTTCTGACTGTTCTAATATGCCATCAAAAGTTATGGTCCGCGATTTACAATTACTAGGCTTCATCAAAGATTTCAAAATTTTCCATAACTCTTTGCTGTTGTTTTGATGCTGATCAATTTTCCTCTGAATATATTCACATCGAGTTTTCTTAATTGATTGTGAATATTTATTACGCGCGACCGTGTACCTATTCCAATGATTATCACTATTAGATCTACAAAACTTTTTGTACCATTTGTCCCTCTTACGTTTAAGACGCAAAAGATCCAAATTGTACCAGCTGTTCGAGTTTTTCAAAGAAACAAACTTTTGTTCAACTAATTTATTGGTACAAGTTTTCAAAACGTTAGTAAGAACAGCTGCATCTTCATCTAAAGTTCCGGTAACTAATGGAAAATCCACGCTTCTCTCAACAAGATTCGAAACAGCTTGCTTCGAATATTTCCTCCAGCACTTCAATTTTACAAAATTATCGTTATCGTTAACACTGTCTAAAACATTAATTACTAAAGTTTCACGATCGGTTATTTTCAAATCAGCTTGAGTAACTGTTCATTTGAAGCATAAACAATCAATTACCTGTAGTAGAGCTCCATATTTAGGCACACCAAGAAAGCAACCAGTTGGCTAAACCACGAGTAAGTGTTGACTACTCAAGCTGCACTAGCTCAAGTCTGGACGAATTTAAACAGCATTATTGCTACTCCGCCTCTAAACATGCTAACCTCAGTCACCAAATAAAAATCGAAAATATTTTATTTATTCATCAAAATACTGCAATACAAATTCTAAAAAAGTCAGCATACAAATAAATAAACGAATATTTTACTGACAATACAGCAATTATTTTACTGATTAAAGCGGTAATTTTTGACAGTTCGCGGATTTTGCGATTTACTAAGTTTTCAGTTAAAGTAACAACTACTAAATTGATTACTGAAAACTCAGCTGTTTCAAAAACCCATTAATTTTTTACCAACTTCGGTAATCTAAACTCTGTGTGTACACATATAGGTAATACTATGAATATTTGACCTATGAGCAATTCCAGACGAGTTCACAAATCCATTAATTTTTGATTTTATTTATTTGGCTGAATGACCGGAGACGAACCAGCGTTCGGCTAAAAGTCTTCTTAATAAAGATAACCAATTATTTGGCTGAAAATTTTCATAAACGTTCCTCATGACCAAAAATACCATTTTGCATCTTGAGATCACCATTTTAAATCGAGCCTTAATTTTTAAAAGGGCATGTAGAACAATTCTATGCTTATCTCCAGAAAACTGTTACTTGAAAAATGTTTGTTCAATCGGTTTGGAACTGAAAATGTTTTAGGGAACATCTGGTGCTATTTGGTTTTTTTTTATTTAAATAAAATCTTAAAAATCTTTTTTCTCTTTTCCAAAACTTGGTTCACTTATTTTTTTGACTAAATATATTGAAAGTACACGAAATTTGCAATAAAATTAAAACTCCATAACCTAGAGCTCGGTAATGAAAATTGTGGATGATCTGATTACTGGGTGATCTGGCAATTCAAAAACCAATTAAAATGTGACCGACTCTAGTAATCTGAAATAAGTGTGTGAGCTTTACTAGCATTATGTCTAACGAGATACCCAGAATAGACTTATTTTCACCATGAAGCACATCAACCTCCTGGGTGCCCATTTCATACCCATCACCCCTATATCAATATTTGATACATCATCAGCATAAATACGTCTGATCAATTTACATTTATGTTTGATGTGTAGTTGTAAAAGAAGTCAAGAGAATTTTTCACCCGCATAGATCCTGCTACCGGATGTGGATTCGAACCCTTCACTTCAAGTACAGTCTACCTGAGTCGTTTTACGTATTCGACTATTCGAGCTACCAACTGCATTACTAACCTAAAAGAACCTAAACTATTTATTTTCAGACAGCAAAATATGCATAACCATACATACCTACGCACTAGCAGTCACCGCAGTGCGCATGCATAGTTAGCTTTATCACCCACGATTGATTCATGTGGTTCTAAAGCTGTGGTTGTCATATCTTTATATTATACGCTTCATATGTATTAGTTCGGGACAATATCGTTTATCAAATTATGTGGCTTGTGTTTTTGGAAAGACTTCTTTCGGTGATTGCGGTTTCAAGTTTTTGAAAAATGCTCTGCTATAAAAGCTAAATCAACATCGTTTGAAAATCATATCACGTTTGTTCTTGCATCTAGTCGCACACAGCCCACCAATATTGCTTACAATGGCTACTGGAAACCGTAAGTTGCTGGCACTACTGCAGCGTCCTTTGGAGCCAACTTTCTACCCGAAAGACGACGGCAAGACTGTGATTGATCTTCCGGAGAACTATCTTACCGAGCGCTACCGTCCGATCGGCGATAACCTGCAGAGTCGTTTCAGCACCGATGCGGACACCAGAATTCCAGTACGCAATGTTGGAACTCCGAATATTGCTTTCGCTGAGGCTGTTGCCCGCCGTGGTGGGTTTTCTCTCTTCAACGAGAAACACCGCAAAATTTCTGGAGAATTGATAACGCTGTTTGTAAATCAACCCGACGTTGAATCACTGATGGCTGTTGCTTCGTATGCGCGAGATCGCTTGAATCCGATGTTATTCCAGTATGCACTGTCCGTTGCCATTCAACATAGACCAGATACAAAGGATATCAACATTCCTTCGCTCTTGCAACTGTTCCCAGATTCATTCGTAGATCCCTCTGTATTTCCAAAGGCTCGTGAAGAAGGCACCGTTGTTCTACAGGAGAATCGAGTGAGTTTGAGTACAATATTTATTTAGGAGTGAATCAGAATGATTTGATGCCTTAATTTAGATGACCATCGACATTCCAATGAGCTTTACCGCTTCGGATCGTGAAGAGGAACAGCGACTGGCTTACCTCCGCGAGGACATTGGAGTCAATCTGCATCATTGGCACTGGCATCTGGTGTACCCTGGAGACGGGCCCGATCAGGTTGTGCGCAAGGATCGTCGTGGAGAGTTGTTCTATTACATGCACCAACAGTTGATTGCCCGCTACAATGTGGAACGTTTCTGTGCTCGTCTAGGCCGAGTTCGACCATTGACTAATCTGCGTGTGCCTCTTAGCGAAGGATACTTTCCAAAGATTATCAGAAGTGTTAACAATCGTGCCTTCCCTCCGCGTCCACAGAATCAGGCTTTGACCGATATTAACCGAGTGGATGATGATGTGATTTTCACCGTAACTGATTTGGAAAACTGGGAGAAACGCATTTCTGACAGTATTGACGTTGGATATGTGGAAGGGGTAAGTAAATAGCATTTACTCATCAATTCACAATTCCTCCTTATTAGAGACATTTATATAAAATCCACACTTTCAGCCAAACGGACAGCGAATTCAACTAACGGAAGAGAACGGTGTCGACATACTCGGCAACATCATGGAACCCTCCTCACTTACAGTCAACCGCCAATACTACGGAAGCTACCATGGAAATCTGCATAACATCATTGCCTACAGCCATGACCCCGAGGGGCGCTTCCTAGAGGGCTACGGTGTAGTTGGGGAGTTCCAAACGGCTATGAGAGATCCAACATTCTACCGTCTTCATGCACAAGTTGACAACATGTTCCATCGTTTCAAAAATACTCTTCAACCATACCCAGCTAATCAACTCAACTACAACGGCGTTCAAATTCAGTCGTTAGCAGCACAACTTAATCGTCCGAATGCGCCGGCAAACGTTCTTCTAACGTACTGGCAACGATCGCAAGTTGATTTGGCCACTGGTTTGGATTTTGGACCACAAGGAAACGTGTTTGCTTCATTCACACATCTTCAACACGCTCCATTCACTTTCCGCCTGACGGTCAACAACACCGGAGCAAGACGTCGTGGTACTTGCCGTATCTTCATTGGTCCCAAAACTGATGAACGTAACATTGCTCTAACCTTTCAGGAACAGCGTATTCTTATGGTTGAACTGGACAAGTTTACCGTCACACGTACGTTTGAAAGGAATCCAGATTGGATAATTATCTAATCAAATTTAAAATTTTAGTTAATCCTGGTAGTAATACCATTGTCCGTCGCTCGGAACAGTCCAGTGTGACCATCCCGTACGAGAGGACGTTCCGCTCCGCAGCAATTTCCAGTCAAACTGGCACGGAGCAGTACCGCTTCTGCAACTGTGGATGGCCATCCCATTTGCTGATCCCGAAGGGTACTCCGGAAGGCATGACCTTTGATCTTTTTGCGATGATTTCCGACTACACTGGCGATACGGTAAATCAGGAGTTTGATGAAAATGTTGACTGCAACGATTCGCATTCGTTCTGTGGCCTTCGTGATCGACTGTACCCCGATCGTCGTCCAATGGGCTATCCGTTCGATCACCGTGCGCCGACCAATATTCGTACCCTGCAGGAATTTGTTCGACCCAATACCAACATGGCGCTCACAAATGTACAGGTCCGTTTTACCAATACAGTTATCGCAAGAACTTGATGGGAATGATTTGAAAAGTTTGATTATGCATAAATGAACAAGGAAATGATTGATATTGTTATAGAATTAATTATAAAATATATATGAACTTCATGTTACTAATGGTAAATTCTTTTTACTACATTGCTAAACTAATATAGACTCAATCCGAATATTCATAATCCTTGCATAAGATAAAAACTACGCACATAATTATACTTCACAATTTCGTTCGGTCTATTTCTTGAACAAATATGAACCATATCCAGACCGACTACACTGGTGATAGTTTCAGTTAATTCTGTTAGTCATACGTACCTTACATATTCCACCCAAAGATTTTAATGTTCCTTCCATTTCATTTTAATTAAACAGGTTCCAATCGATCATAAATTACTTCTTGTTTCTGAATGCACGACGATTTAACATAATTTCAGTTTCTTTTTTGAAATATTAAAATATGTTAAGGAGTCATAACGGTGAAGGGGTCATAAATGATTCCAATATTTGTAAAAGTACAACTAAAAATTATGTTGTATAATTAATCATCCTCAAAGAAGAATAAATTCCTGAGCAATTGAAACCTGTTTCATCTACATCGATTAAAAATTGACTAAATAAGAGCAAAAGGGGAACTGTGGGTGAGCCCGGCACCACAGCACTTGCTAGAAAACAGTTTTTAATATCTTAATAAACCCAGGTTATTATTTTATTCCCTACACTCAATTATTACGAGATTTATTATTATTATTATTTTGTTCTCATGGATACAGCATTTTTAATACCACCTGATTTTTCTTTGTTTTTTGTAATGTTTTTAAATTGTTTTGTCTTAAATTTGGTTGAAAATTGAGATCACACGATTAAAAATAAAGGCAAAAGAAAATCGCGTTAAAAATATAATTGATTGTATTTTGAACATGTCAAGATACATTGAACTGTTAAATGTCAAGAAAATATTTTATTTCAGAAGGTTTCAAGGTTTTGACAGCACATAAAGTTTGATATCCTGTTGTTTTTGCATTCATATTGTCATCTTATCTCTTTATCATCATGTTTTTGGGATTAGAGATAATTTTGAGCAGTAAAATGTTGATAATCATGTTTTTAAAACTAGCGGCACCGGTGGTGTAGTGGTAAGCGTGATTATCTCTCACCCCAGCAGGCCTGAGTTAAATCCCAGTCGGCGCCGCCGGTATGTTCTGAGGTACATCTCTGATCACGCCTTCCATCGGAAGGGAAGTAAAGCCGTCGGTCCCCGGTTCATGAGTTGATGGGTCGATAGGTAGGGTCCAGGTGTGGAAGCTGCCTCCCTGGCGTCGGTAGCATTGGTGCCCAGAACGGAAAACAACAGCTGCGCAAAATTTGAAGGAATTTGGTTGCGACCTGTAATTACACCAGGATTATATATTTAGTATGGGTACATAATTGGAAACGGAAAGAAAATATCCTTTTGCCTGTTACAAAATCACATATGGCTCAACATCGGCTATGTCAGAAATTTAGATACAGTGCAATAGGTGATTAGCCAATTAAAGGTTGAACACGAAAAAATCCGGACACGAAAATCTTGTTGGGGTTAAAAAATGCTTTAGTGGTAAGCGTGATTGCCTCTCACCCTAAAAGGCCTGGGTTCAATCCCAGTCAGCGCCACGGGGATTTTCTGAGGCATAAAATCTCTAATCACGCTTTCCTTCGGAAGTGAAGTAAAACCGTTGGTCTCCGGTGAATGAGTTGATGGGTCGATAGGCAGGGTCCGAAGATAAGGGCTGAACACAATGATAGCGGTATAGCAGTGTAACGGCATAGCGGTGAGCGCATATTTCTCCAATATTCCAATACAATAAAGTCCGTTTGACAACCCACAATAAGTGCGTTGCGGCAAAAGCGGCATTGTTAAAACTCGTTTTATTTTCAACATTTTGGAAAAACGCAGTGCGGTTGAGCGGCAACCTGAGAGGTGCTCAATGTTTTCAAATGTATTTTTTTTTTGTAATTTTGAGTTAACTAGAAACTTCAAGACGTGAACCAAATAATCATCCAAGGTAGTAAGTAAGTAGTCAGAAAAATGTTGACTGCATCCGGACATGTTCTAGGTACCCCCGAGGATGAGGTCAGTTTCTTCTTGAACACATCAAATTACATGAGAATTCAAAAATATCACCATTTTTGTCCATATTAAGTACTGAAAACCACGTTGGCCAGATCCGGACATGTTCCGGGTACCCTCAGAGGAGTGAAACTTGGACCTACATCCTCATGTGAGACATCAAACTACATGAGACTTCAAAAATAAGAACATTGTTGGCCATATTAAGTACTTAGGACCACGCTGGCCAGACATGCTCCGGGTGGTCCCGGGGAATTTCATAGATTTCCCGAAATTATCCGGAGGCCAATGGAACTTCTCTGGAGTTCTCAGAAATTCCCTGAAATTCTCTTCAGAACTACTCTGAAGGTCTTCTCAGAACTACTCTGAAGTTCTCTTCAGAACTACTCTGAAACTCTCCACAGTACTAATCTGAAGTTGTCCTCAGAACTACTTTGAACTTCTCCTCAGAACTACTCTGAAGCTCTCTTCAGAATTATTTTGAACTTCTTCTCAAAAGTACTCTGAAGTTATCCTCAGAACTACATACTCTGAAGCTCTCATTAGAACTAAGTTCTCGACATAACTACTCTGAAGTTCTCCTAAAACAACATTTTCCTGAAACGTACGAAGTTGTCTGAATATTCTCTTGAAGATCTTTGAACTTCTCTGATATTCGGGACTTTTCTAAAGATATCGTTACTCCCCAAAGTTTTTTAAACTTCTCAATAAATTAGAGTCCTCTGGACTTTCCTAAAATGAATGGAACTTTGCTTTAGATCTCGCATTTTTCCTTATATTCATAATTCTTCTGCGACGATAACCCAAATGATAAAACTATTCCACAAATGGTTTACATGATACCCGGGACACGTCGTTGAGCAAAATAACCATAACAATTCTATTATGGAGCTCTCGATATTTCCACACGGTTATCACGGTATTTATTCAAAGTGCTCCCAAATTTTTTGAAGTTAATGCAAATTCAGAGACGATCACTGAACTTTGGAGAATTTCAAAGCCCCTTGGATATTTTTACAAGATTGATCAATTATTCAGTAGACCTTCTACTGATTAACTATTCAATCAGATAATCCCTCACATAATTCTTCACTATGTCAGCTGAATCAGAGATTATTCAAATAACCTTATGACTTCATGACGATTAGTTAGTTTGAAGATCTCCAACTGATTGAAAGTACAAGAAACGACGCTACTTATCTATAAACCCATACGAAAATCATGAAAAAGTATACAATTTCCGATAAACGTGTACTTTTCAAAGATGTCACACAGTGCCGGTGGTGTAGTGGTAAGCGTGATTACCTCTCACCCCAGCAGGCCTGGGTTCAATCCCAGTTGGCGCCGCCGGGATGTTTAGAGGCATAACATCTCTGATCACGCCTTCCTTCGGAAGGGAAGTAAAGCCGTTGGTCCCCGGTTCATGAGTTGATGGGTCGATAGGTAGGGTCCAGGTGTGGGAGCTGCCTTCCTGGCGTCGGTAGCATTGGTGCTCAGCACGGAAAACAAGATCGACGGAAAACAAACCAAAGAAAAAAAAAAAAAAAAAAGATGTCGCACAGTTCCATAATTAATAGAATGAAAAAGCTTTAAATACAAGCGGTCTGATTAGATTATGTGTTGTATTACGGTGCTTTACGTGTTTTTCTCAATCCGAAATTAGTCCGCCCATTAAATCAGTACAACATGCAGCGGAAGAGGAAAAATAAATAGATTTTGCGCGCATGCATTGTGGTTAGGAATGCGGCAAAGCGGCAGCGGAACAGCGGTTAGCGCAATTTTAGTACATTGCGCGTTTGCCGTTGTACCGCTATGCTGCTATGCCACTATCATTGTGTTGCCATTTGAATGCATGCCATTTGAATGCATGCCATTTGAATGCAAAAATCTGCAACAATGGGGTCAGCTTAAACACAATGACGTTATATGGCAAACGTCAGAGAAGTCTATGTACGTCTCAGCGATTGCTTTATAATTCGTTTGAAAACAAGATTAATGGAGTAAGATTTCTCATTAAAGTTTCTGCATGAAGTGCAGATTTATTTAAATAATTTAATTGACTATGATTTTGTCACTATCTCGGGCAATGGTAGCAAATTGCTATCAAATATCAAAAATGTGTATTTTCTAACAAATCTAACAAATGTTTTCAATTTCGATCACTATTTCGAAGCAGTAGAGGTTCAAAGGGGCATTCCATAAAAAAACATTCCTTATCATGCAGTATTTCACATAAAATTCAAGTTTCTGCATATTTCTAACAAATAAAAAAGATGAATGTTTAAAAAAAAACACACACTCCAATACTTTTATTCCTATTGGTTTTGTCGTGAAACAAGGTGAGTGGTAGTAAATCGTAATTATGTGTTACAATTTTGATGCAGGACTACGTCTTTGATTTCTATATGGAGACACTTTGTGAAAACCGAAAATGGAACATGTAACACATTAAGAAAGATTTTGAACGTTAATAACTCAGCTGCCCCTGGTTCAATTTCAATAATTTTATCACCAATCGACCATAAATATGGCTACGCATTGATAACAATGCTTCCGAATGTTGATTTTCAACAAGAAACTATTGAAAAACTGGTAAATGTCCAGCATTGTCCAAAAGCGTCGAATTAACTAACAAATCCACCAATTACCTACATGCGTATTAGAGTGATGCAAAATTTGAAATTTTCGCTCCACAATACTTAAACGATTCCAAACCGAATCCTGACTAACCTCTCAAAATTTGAACCCATTTGGTGAGAAACTGAGAAGGCACAAACCATTTGAAGTTTGTATGGGAATTACTATGGTAAAACCAAGATTTTTGTTCATGTCTATCTAATAATTCACCATATCGGTCTGCCTCAAAAACTTTCAACTGTACTTGTAGGAAATTTTCCCAGCTGCAACTTTGCTCAAGACTACTTTTTGATTAAATGCAAGATTC